GCCCTCGTGTAGCTTTGCGCGAAATTCCAAAAAACAAACAAAAACAAAAACAAACTTTATGGGCAATTATTGAGTGTCATTTTTTTAACTAAGCTATTTTATATCTTATCTCCGTAGGGACTGACATTTTTAAAAATCTGATTTGGGTACAATTGCCCTTGATTTAGAGTTGCTGACCAGAGAAAGGGCAACCAGTCAGTACCCTTGCCACCTACATATGTACTCTTAACTGAATAGTGGGATTGACTATTGAAAATGTGAAGCGTATTTAGCGACATGAGCTATAACCTTTGACCTTCTGTACCACATCCTGGTATGCTAACCATTGGGCCACACTCAGCGTTATAAAAAAAAAAGCAAGAAAAGAAAGAATTAATTTGTATATTATTTTTGCACCCCTTTTCCTAATGTATCAACATTTACTAGATATTTTTATCATTTTTTGCGTGTGATCTCTGAATCATAACTATTGTTACGTCTCCGTTTGTTAATTAATTTTCCGTAAATTCGTTCCGACGAAACTTTAGCGACACAAGTCCTTTCTTAAATAAAACTGGTTTATTCTTTCCGAATACAACTTTACGATATACTTAATTTCAACAGTCGATCTATAACAACGCTATAACTCACGTCTCACGTGGCTAACAATATTTTGTCCGCATACATTCAATTACTCATTTCCTCCCGTCGCTTCGTGGCCGGTCTTATATATACAAGACTACACTATATCTAGAAAGATCACGAGATTTAAGGAAAAGGCGTGAAAGTTCGAGAATGACGTGGCGTGATACTAGTCACGTGACCTCGATGTCATAACACTATAAAAGGAAAGATAAGCAAATGACACTCAATAATTGCCCATAAAGAACGATACTGTAAAGTCTTAAATTTAACCATAGTTACTGCCATAACTCCAAATTCAGGCATTGAGTAGTCCATCCCCATATTTATGATAAAATGAGTGTATTTTATTCAAAATTCTATGTACAAATACGTTTTCTGAAGTAACTACAGATTTTAATTTTTCGGCAAGATAGCTTGAAATAATTCATAAATGCAATTTTTTGTGCCGATACTTAGATTATACGCTTTCAGAAACTTGTATTTAGTATTTCAGTGATAGAAATATTTCAAGCATTTTTATGACTATTTCACAGTTTGTTTGAATATATACATTGATGTTTAAACATTTGCTAAGAATTTAAATAATTACTTTAATAACCTCAGCAGAACAATACATCACGAAAAATAAATAGTAAAACTCCGTTAGGTGACCGTATTGCCTTCAACATGGTGATGTCATCATGTTTGCACCGTTTAGTATTTAAAATGTTAAATTTTGTAATTGTAGTATAATTCATAGAAGTGGAAATTTAACCTTAAACATGTTAGTATAACTAGAAACAAACATGCCATAATTTATTTAATTCAAATGCATTACTGATAAATATGTTAAATGTTCGGAAAATAGTTAAGCATATTAATTTTAAAGAACTTAGATAAGACTTGTACTGTTGTAGTTAAATTGTGTTTGAAAATCATTTAAAAGTAAAACATTTACTGATGATTTAGTAAATTCTAAATGTGATTTCGCCAACTTTGTAATGTTTGCATTTAACGTTTTAAGTTTAACTAAGGGTCATGTTCAGTACTGTTCTTTTATTGCACTTAATACTCATACTTTCAAGTTAAAGCTTAAAATTTAAATACTTGTGTATATCTTCTACTCTAGCAGTACTCGTACTAGTAGTATAATATTAATAGTAGAACTTAAACGAAAGTAGATCAAGCCTAAAGCAAGTATAATTTCTAAATATAAAAGAAATGACTTGTAATATTCCTACTGATATAATGAGAAAGACTAAGAGTTGGTGTTTCACTTATTAGTATGTTAGATGTCATATAACTTGTAAGAAAATTTTCTCCACAGTTACTTTTAAGTCGATTTAATTTCTTGTGAACAAAAAATATTATAATAATCATTTGCATATTAAAGGACATTATACACTATTTTCATATCATTACAAACTTTTTCTTTAGTAAAAGAAATCCACATTATTATTTCAGGAAGTGTTTTGCTGTGCTCACTGGCTAAAAAATATTATGTTTCTGTGGTGTATATAAAAAAAAAAAAACTTGTAAATATTACCTGAAGTTTACAAAGACATTCACTTGAAATTTTGGGAACACCAACCATGTTTACCAAGTTGAAGAAAAGACTAGAAGAAGAAAATACTGGTGAATTGCTGAAAGGATTGACAGTTACTGGTTCAACCAATTACATCCCAGCACTTAGCAGTTTCATATCAGGATCAGCAAGTAACTTGTCAGCAGTTGGAAAAATATCAGCATCTTTGGCCAGTTCTACAGCTGCACGTAGTCGCAGGGCATCAGGTTTGTTTGTTTTTAATACCCAAAATTGGTTCATCTTTTCCTGGTAACACATTATGTTGAATCATTCCTTTGGTTTCAGCTCTTGTTTTATAAAAATTAAGATAACAAACCACGTGTTTTACCTGATTTTTCTTTACTAGTACATAAACAGTCTGTTGTAATTTCAGCAAGAAGAGTGTCATGAGATATTCAGAAGTGTACTTCTTGTAAAGGAATTTCAAAAATACACATACATGGGCTATAAAAATGCCTTTTTGAAACAACCATGTAAATTGAAGGAGAGCATTAAACTTTTTTATTGTTAGAACTGTTTCATTAGAAACCAAAATGGTATCGTTGAATATCTCCTTTGTGGAAGAGGAAGCATTTAAATATGTACAATGAGGCCATAAAATATATTTTTTTTACTGTTGTACTTGCATAGCAGAGTTTATTTAAAAACTTTACCCTAATAAAGACAACTAAAATATTTTGTGTTGTTCAGGCTAACATTCACTTTTCTTTGTCCAGGATGTTGGCTTTGCTTCTTTTAATTACAGAAAATGCCAAACTAATGGGTGAAATAGTTTATTTACATAGGATAACTGAAGTTGGTTTAATGTATTTCCCTGACAGAGTGACAAATTTAGGTTACTTAAATTAATATATAATTTTAGTTCATTAACCTTAACTGAGAACTCGTAATTATTCATATATCCTAAACTCTGAGATTTTAATTCTTTTCTTTAGCTTCAGAAAGCAGCTCTCCTAAAATTGCCTGTGTTTCTTTAAATCACAACCAGTCAGCATCACCAGGAAATAAGTTATCAAATAACTCTAAAAGGACAAGAAGATCCAACTCGGAGCTAGTATCTCTTCAAGGGGCTACATCTAACAAAGGAACATCTATCATGGTAACATACAGGCTGAAAACCAATAAGTATGGTTGAAACAGGTGGTTATTCATAGATTATGGAAGTGTGTGTGTGAAGTATTTCTGTACCACTTATATCAAACTGATTTGAATCGGACAAATTTTCATTACCTTTTTGGGATTCTAATCTGCTCTTCATGACTATTCTTAATTATATATTACATCTGCTGTTTTTCTTACAGTTTAAAAAAATACTACTTAACTCATTAAAATAAAATAATGATGTAAAACTGTAAGAGAGTGTTTCTTGAGTTAATGTGCATCACCTTCAAATATCCATCATGACTGTAGTATTTTCATGCTTAATTTCAAACGTGGGATGGCAACAAAACTTTGGGAGTCACATTTCAGCCATGATGTATTAATGTGGGAACAACTATTCCCACCTTCATTTGGATAACACCTTGTTGTACATTCTCATTTGAGCGGATGTTGCTTAACACTTAGCAACTTAACATTCCATCCAGTTTTATTACAAAGAAATGATGAACAATGGAGAATAACATAGTCCTGACTAACACAGTGATTACTGCAGTATGTTTACATCTATGAACATAAAATTATCCCATCTGGTTTCATAGATTTTGTATCACTCTCTCATGTAAAATGTTCTAAGCTATTGAAATCTGTAAGTGGAACTGCATGGAATACTAGTTCAGGTTTCAAGTCTTGGATGGTGCTACTTTACAATCTGTTAAAGGTGGTGACATTCGTACATTGACCTGCCCTTAGTGAGAGGGTTAAGTTAATGACAAATTTTCCTTAAATTTCTTTTTTTTCTTACTTTAAGAGCAAAAATTTCAAAGATATGTCTTCCCCAAAGGTCAATGCAGTCAAGTTATTTCGGAACTAATATTTGATTCTTTACTTATGAAATGTAGCTTTAAACTTAAAGCAGTTATTGAAGAAGTTACAGGATTTCCTCTAGTTCCAAAGATTCTGCAAATTGCTTTACTAATATTTTTTTCTTGATAAGAATTTCTATTATTGTTTATTTAATTAATTACTTTATTTGGTGTGCTTATTTTCTTTTCATTCTTCTTTCATCCTCTTACACCTGAAATGTTTGTTACCACTTTGTTATGATCCAAAATACAATGTGCATACTTATATGTTTTCAGGGTGGGACACCTGAACATCATCATGATTTCATTGAAGATCACAAGCTTTATGTGTTTTTCACTCCCATTTCATTCTTACATTTAGTTTTTTAACTTTGCATTACTGACCCTTCCCTGTAAGTTAATCACTAAATAAAGTAAAAGTAAAGACTTTAAAATGTAACCAAAAATGTAATGTTTTTAAACTTGTAGTTTATACAAATTATGTGAAATTTCATTTGTAATAATATAACATGAAATGTAACATTGTGTAATTTAAGAAAACCTTAAGTATTGATAAAGGTAAATTTTTAAGATTACATTTCTATTTTCATAGTAGCTTATGAGTTAATTTCTCATAGATTAATTGGAAAGCAAGAGACTCAATAAAAGCCCTTTTTTTTTTGAGGGGGTCTTCATTCTTTCACAGGTAAATTGAGAATAAGTAGCAACTGTGAAACAAGAAAGTCTAAAGATGTTAACTTTCATTGTTTAGGTCACCTTTGGGGTATGGGTTCAGTATCGGGTTCCTTACCTTAGGATGGGTATTGAGTTGTTGGAAAGAGCTCAGATCTTTGTTGTTTAATTTTAACAAACAGTTGTATAATACCTGCGATTGAAAGGTTGTCATACGAGGGCAGGTTAAGATCTCTGAAATTGTTTTCTATTTGAAAAAAGTATAGTTAGATGGAATCCGAATGAATTGTTTAAGATTGTGGGAAATTGATAATGTTTACACACTATTTTTTTTATTTTTTTTTAACTTATTGGTGAAAATGGTAGGACTAGGGAACACAAATGTAAATTTTGGCAGGGTAGATGTCTTATTCAGCTAAGACAGTTTTATTTGTCTAAAAGGATACCTGGGTTTTGGAATGGGTTGCCTTCAGATGTGGTGGATGCATTAAGTTTTAGGAAAAGCTTCATAAATATTTGAATGATAAAGGCTGGCTTTGAGGTTGTTTTTTTTCAAGTGTAGTTGTTGGGATGGCCTAGTTGACCCAACAGGTCTATTGTTCGTAAATTTTATGTTTATATTTTAAAATGATCTAGTTGTTGGGTTTCTTGTTTTCGTAACTTATTTGTTTTTTTTTAACCCGAAGTATTTCTTTGTATCATTAGTTATAAAAGATGAAGTAAATATTGCGAAATGCTTATTTATTTTTAAATCTGATTTTAAGTTTACTTTTTGCAGAATTATATAATTTACAGAAACTAGAAACATTTTTTAGTTCTATGAGAAACTTTCAGATAAGTATGTTATGAATATCAAGTTATTTAAAACTACGCTGCTACACACATGTGATAAAGGCTAATTTGAACATACAATAGAGCCAATGGTTTTTACGGAGGTTTAATTTCCCTTCTTGTCATTACATTAGTCTTAATTAATTGCCATGTAAGTTCATATAAAGATATTCTTATTCGTCATTATGTTTCTTAACCAACTCAATAGGAGAGAACTATCGGGTAAAAAAAAAGCCTAGTTTGCACAGATACATTTATCCATATGTTATTGAAGTCCCCCCCCCCCTATATATTTTTAAAATAGATAGAAGAAAAATGAAATATAAGTCACTATGTATTATATAAGGTACAGAAATGTAATATGTCAAAATATCAACATTTGTGTTTTTATAATAAATGTTTTGAGACGGCTTGACTGGGTAGTGAAAAAAAACTTTATGATAAATGTACGATGTTTCAATAAGATTTTATCAAAATGTCATACATTTATAATAAAGTTTTTCATTACCAAGTCAAGCCACCTCAAAAATTGTATTTTCTAAAAAAGTGTGTTCCTCATTATCAAGTTTTAATTTGTGTGTCTTGTTAATGATTTCTATTGGAGCATTGGTCAATTTTCTACTTTTTAGGGACATGACTCACAGACTCCAGAAAAGAATATGGGAGCCATCAGAAAAAAAGCTGAGCCAATGAAAGTACTAGAAGCCAAAGTGAAAGGTAATGTAGAGAAAGATTGTAATAAAAAATATTAAAATATTCTTATTATATGACATTATTTAGTAAGCAAAATGTCACTAGAAAAAGTGTAGGTTTTTACATTCAAGAATTTTAAAATAAATAACTTTTGTACAAACATTATAGCACCCTCTCCAGAAGCTCAGTGGTAAGTCAGAAGGCTTATAATGTTAAAAACTGGATTTCGATACTTCTGATGGGCACAGCACAGAGTCCATTGTGTAGCTTTGTGTTTAACTACAACAACAATCAACCTTGTAGTCTAATTTTTATATGCATTTTTAGACAGCCTCCTGACATTTAATCTTAGTTCCGAGTGTTGGGAAAACTTAACTTGGCTTTCTTCACATTGTGGTATTGTACTGCAAGTATCATTTAATCACGATGGTTCAGTGATCCTGAGCAAGAGTTTCATTGTTTCTTCATGCCTAGCATGGCCTAGTGGTTAGGATGCTCGGCTTGCAGTCTGTGGGTCACCGAACACGCTCGCCCTTTCAGCTGTGGGGGCATTATGATGTGACAGTCAATCCCACTGTTCATTAGTGAAAGAGTAGCCCAATAATTGATGGTAGGTGGTGTTGACTAACTGCCTTCCCTCTAGTCTATCACTGGTAAATTAGGGGCAGATAATCCTCATGTAGCTTTGAAAGAAATTCAAACCAAACCATTGTTTCTTCATATATTATTCTATCAATCTAAGTTCATTTGCATTTTTATTTTCTTGCAATTAAATGTAACTCCAATTTGTAGAACTTTTTTTTTTAAAAATCGAAAATATCACATATACCTTTTTTTTTTTTTCTTTGGCATTATTGCAGTAAATCTTAATTGTTTCTGTGCCAAGTTTGAGCCTTTTTTTCTGCTATGATAGCTGTAAACACAATGTGTGAATTTCTCTTGGCTTTTGAGAATTGGATGTAAAATAAGTGTGTGTTGTTGAAAAACTGTTATTAGAAGTGAATTACATCAAACACATTTAGTTTTAAATATATCATGTTTGAAATACTTACAAATTGGAAGAACAATAACTTTTTGAGCTGTCATTGTGATGGTTTCATATTATTCATTTTTAAAACATTGGATGTATTTTTTATTAAGACCTGCATGAACGTCTGGAAAATCAGAAGAAAGAGCACGAAGTAACAACTTTGGAAAAGCTGAAACAGGCTATTTTTGAGAATGATGACAAATGGATTGTTAAACTTCAGGCATTGGAAAAGGTACAGTATAAGGTTATTTCTCCATATATATTAAAAAAAATTCAACATTTTTTGTAACACTGCTCATTTACATCAGCTTGCCCCTCGTGGTTTTCTATTAACATGTTAAAAACATGCAGTATCTAGTCTCGTGTTTAATATTCAGCTTAATCTTTTTTGCATCTTTGCAATTATTATATCAGATTTCCATACATCTTTTTTACACAATGGAAAGAGAATTTAAAAAATATACTGTTTGATAAATAGTCTTTATTTTCTTCACTCTGAGAGTTTTGGTATTTAAAGGCTCAAGATAATATTTTTATTGAAATATGTTCTCTTTTCCCATTAATAGTGTTTTATTATACATATACATAACTTTTAAAGTGCCTATATTGAGTATCATTGTTCCACAACTCTTTTTTTTCATATATATAGATACATTCTCATGCGCTTCAGTGACTGTTTTTTTTCATATTTCATCTGCACCTTACATGATGTCTTCACTTCATGGCATCAGCCTTCCCCACCAACCTCCAAAAAATTATTGTGTGAATCCTTGCTATCTGGCTATAAAAAATATTTTCCTTTATCTACTTTGATACAGTTTCTTGGTAGAATTGTTTGAGTTTTAGCTTTAAGAAATTTTCCTTATGGTTTTAAAGAAAATTAAGTTTTTTGGTAAAGAAAGGGCCTATACACCAAGATTTTCTAAAGAACTGAAGATAGTTATTTGCACAATACAAATATTATGGTTTGATTTATTTCTAGGTTTTCTGTCTCTTTTTTGTTTCTTGTACGTGATGTTAGATATTATCAGGATGGCAAACTGCCCTGTGATATTAGAAATTATCAGGATGGCAAACTGTCCTGTGATATTAGAAATTATCAGGATGGCATTCTGTCCTGTGATATTAGAAATTTATTAGGATGGCACTCTGTCCTGTGATATTAGAAATTATCAGGATGGCACTCTGTCCTGTGATGTTAGACATTTTTGAAAAAATGAAAATGGCACTTTATGAATTATAAACTTTACAAACCTGACTTGCTCAACTTAAAAGTCCTTTGGATTTCTGGCCTTAATTATCTGTTAAAAGATTTGTAGCATTTGAGACTTTGTAATATAGTTAGGTAAATCCTGAAAAACAGAGATATGGATTCAAGAACTGCCCATTCTCAATTTTCACATCAGAAAATGGCCTAGATGTCTTGTTTCCTGTTCCTGAATAAATATTGTGATCGTAAAGGACATTATAAGTCTTTCACTGTTTTTGATTATTTAATAAAAGTAACTTCTGTTCTTAGGTTTCATGTAACTTCATGTAAACATAGCAGTTTTTATACTTTAAAACTTTATAAAAAGTAATTCTCAATTAAATCCTGTGCCATTTAAATAATTGTGTCTTCATTCTTTGTTAAATCTCAACTCGTGGAAGAAAATATTTAATGTCTTGATTTTTCAATCAGTTTCATGTAAATATAACTACTTCTTGTCAAACAACATGTAAACCAGATATTAAGTAAATTTAAAACACAATAAAAAAAGATATATTTTGTGTGAATTTTGCGAAACTATTAAGAGATATATTTTACTATTTATTTGAATTTAGGAAAAGTTGAGGTTGGAAAATAAGTTGCAAGAATGTCAAATTAAACTGGAAAAATTTGTTGAAAAACAAGAAGAAAAGGATGAACAGGATAACTTTCAAAATCAAGAAATAGCCGAAAAACAACACCTGGTAATTCGTGTATTTTATTTGAACTTTTTGATAAATGTAATAATATTTTAAACATTCTTTAATCGATCTTCAGACAACTACACACACACACAAATCATGAAGTTGAATACATTGTGGATGCTAAAGATGTTTATTTCAGATTCTCCCAGATTCCTTGATTAAACAAAACAATTGAAATTCTAAATGGAAGCCTTTGGAGAAAATATGACTTTAGTGGTGTTCAATTATTCGATTTTCATGAACATTTTTCTTTAATTCCTAAAATCAATGGTATCGTAAGTTCTATGTTTTGCGACTGCTTTTTAAAAAAATTCATAAAATAAACATTATATTCTGCTCTCACAAGTAAACCAGGTTTTCTTAGCACAGTTGGTGTTGTTGAAAAATAAACATTATATTCTGCTCTCACAAGTAAATCAGGTTTTGTTAGCACAGTTGGTGTTGTTGAAAAATAAACATTATATTCTGCTCTCACAAGTAAACCAGGTTTTGTTAGCACAGTTGGTGTTGTTGAAAAATAAACATTATATTCTGCTCTCACAAGTAAACCAGGTTTTCTTAGCACAGTTGGTGTTGTTGAAAATTAAAAATTTTATTCTGCTCTCACAAGTAAACCAGATTTTGTTAGCACAGTTGGTGTTGTTGAAAAATAAACATTATATTCTGCTCTCACAAGTAAACCAGATTTTGTTAGCACAGTTGGTGTTGTTGAAAAATAAACATTATATTCTGCTCTCACAAGTAAACCAGGTTTTGTTAGCACAGTTGGTGTTTTTGAAAAATTATGCTTACACTCTAATTATGCTTCATTTGAATTTTTTATTTTACGTGTAGTTAACTATTGTTGGAAACCAGAAACAGGTTATAGTGCAGAAAGCTTCTTATTTCTCAAATAATTATTTACTCACCTAAACCTGCTTTCTAAAGATGTACCGTAAAGTTCCATATGTAATTATTTACTCGCCTAAAATATGGAACTTTAAGGTACATCTTTAGAAAGCAGGGAAGCAATTAAGTACGATACTGAGTAAAAGGTAAAAAATACATAGCATTAATAATGGTGAGTTAATCCACCTAGCTGATGAATTTTCTTATAGATTCTCATTCTTTAATAAAGTCTTTACTTACAGAAAATAAAATTTTAACATTTATGATGGTATATCTGAAAATGATTTGGTGAGTTTTGAAAAAATAACTTTGTAAGTTTTATTATTGTTTTTTATTAAAAATGTAGGTGGCCCAATAATTTATGTGCTGGCTATGTATCGGATGGTCCAAGGTTTGATCCATGATATGTGGCTGAACATGTGGGGTATTAATACTATTGACTTAATGATTCTCCTAAGTTATGTGATAAAAACAAATCCATGAACGTTCAAGCAGAAGTTTTGTTATTAATAGGCCTAACATGGCCAGGTGGTTATGGGGCGCTCAACTCGCAACCTGAGGGTCGCGGGTTTGAATCCCCATCCCACCAAACATGCTCGACCTTTCTGCCATGGGACGTTATAATGTGACGGTCAATCCCACTATTCATTGATAAAAGAGTAGTCCAAGAGTTGGCGGTGGTTTCTAGCTGCCTTCCCTCTAGTCTTTCACTGCTAAATTAGGGATGGCTATTCCTGAACCTTAGTGAGTCTTGGACTCAAATCAAGAGTTTAATCCATGTGTTGTATAATGTACTGTTCAAGTTGAAAATACCAATAGTATCAAAAGGAACTTCAAAATATAGAATTTTTGGTAAAGTCTATAAAAATCTTGAAGATTCAAGCATTTAAAGTACTTTTTTTAAGATATGAGTTGTATTATTTAGACGTTGTCAGAATTGTTTAATAAAATTATTTAAAATGTAAGTTTTAATAGGTTCAGTATCTGATTCTTATTGACATGTTCTATCTAACATTTAGTTGCTGATTAGCTACCAACACGTGAAAGAATTGGAGGAAAAACTGAAAAGGCAGAATGAAGAAATGAGCCAAACGGACAAAAAGGTTAAGGAAATGGAAGATAGGATCGAGCAACTTCAAGCCCAAATAGAGAAAAATGAAGAAGAATTGAGCAGAGTTTGGATAATTGAACATGATAAAGCAGAACTGGAGCTTGAAGTTGATCAGCTCAAACATGAAGCACTTCAGGTGAGGGAATATATTTTTAATGAAATCATATTTGATTCTATTTGACTGCTGTATTTTGTTATTTTACAAGAATAATCAATGAAGACAAAGATTCTATCTTCGGTAATTTTTTTTGACTAATTATTTTCTTTCCCTTACATCAAGTACAGTTATTTTTTGTTTAACCCTACATGCACAGATGGGGTCAAATTGTGCATGCCATGATGTTTTATAGTTATATTCAAAATTTAATTTAAAAACTTTATTATTAATTTATTTCGGTAAACTTGGTATCAAAACGTAGTTTGATTTGAATATTATTATTATGTGAAATAATTTCTTAACTTCATAGGGAAATATTCAAATAGATTTTCAATATTCACTTCTCTGTATCACATGATGCTTCTTCACCCCAGGGTACTCATTTTAGATCTGAAAAATATTGCTAAAATGTAATATAAATTTAAAGTCTTCAGTTTGCTAGTGTTAGTGAGATATAAACCGAAAAGTCAAACCCACACACCATACTCTCTTATCACATTCTGTCTTTCAGAAAATGTCGGTAATTTGTTTTGACATTTGCTTTTGAATTATTTACGAAGAGAATATTTTAATATTTTTATTTTCCAGGTAAAGTTAACTCGTTCTTATGACAGTTTTTCAGTTAATTGGTCTACAGTTTCATTGTTGTTATTGCCAAGATCATTTCAACTAGATGGGGAATTATTTGGTCTACAGTTTCATTGTTGTTATTGCCAAGATCATTTCAACTAGATACGGAATTATTTGGTCTACAGTTTCATTGTTGTTATTGCCAAGATCATTTCAACTAGATGGGGAATTATTTCATCTACAGTTTCATTGTTGTTATTGCCAAGATCATTTCAACTAGATACGGAATTATTTGGTCTACAGTTTCAGTGTTGTTATTGCCAAGATCATTTCAAGTAGATGGGGAATTATTTGGTCTACAGTTTCATTGTTGTTATTGCCAAGATAATTTCAACTAAATAGGGAATTATTTCATCTACAGTTTCATTGTTGTTATTGCCAAGATCATTTCAACTAGATACAGAATTATTTCAATGCACATATAGCTTAGTTAGAAAGCCAGTTAAATTATAATAATTTTAGAATATTGTTTTGTTACATGTCAGTAGTTTCTTTTAAATTACATATTTGAAATAAATATTGTATTTACTACCAACATTGTTACAATCTAAGCAAGTAACTTGTTTAAACACATCTTGTCTATGTATATAGTACAGTGCAGTGTATTTATTTGTTGTCATTTTCAGCCCTAACATTTTACTAAGGTATGCTTTACTAGTCAATCTATTTGACATGTATCTAATAAATGTATTTGTTGTTTTTGGCATTTTTCAAAAGGCTATATTAGATAATGCAAATGAAAAGTATAAGGGAATTAGCAACGTGTTATTCTACTTTATACTTTGAAAAATATCTGTATTTTCAAATGCACATACTCAGTACATGTCACGAGAAATATCATCAGTTATATTTTTTCGTTAATGCAACTGATATGTATACTAACTGAACCCATGGAATATTAGGTCTGTGATTTGGTGGTGTTAATTTTGTACATGTAGACAAGCAGTATTCTAGAAGCGAAAGACAGCCATATTGTTCATGTAGAAGAAAGAGTAGCTGTTTTGGAGAAAAGGCTTGAAGATTCATCCCTCCCCGATGACGAAAAAGTGCGAGCTTATCTATCAGAGGTAAAAATAATTTTCAGAAAATAAGTAAGCTATCAAATATAGTCATAAAACTTTTAGTGTTTTATAAGTTTCTTGATGAATGAGAAACCAGTTTGAACTTTAAAATAAATATTTTTTGTGGGCAAGTAAAAAGTGATTATTGTCATGTTAGGCCTACTTTCTGTAGAAGCATGTGCATTGGTCATATCCATGATGTGTAACGGTGTCTTCTTCTGTAGCCTTTCCCGTATCTATACGGGGTCGCTATTTTTGACAGCACGTTTCCACTCTCCTCGGTCTTCATATTCGTCCCCAACAAGGCCTTTCTCTCTAATATCTCCATCCACGCAATCCTTCCATCTTCTCCTTGGTCTTCCTCTCTTCCTTCTCCCCTCCACCTCCATATCCAAAA